TGTAAACTTCTGACCCACTGGGAATGTGATGAAAGAAATAAAAGCTGAAGTAAATCATTCTCTCTACTATTATTCTGACATTTCACATTCTTAAAATAAAGTAGTGATCCTAACTGACCTAAGACAGGGAATGTTTACTAGGATTAAATGTCAGGAACTGTGAAAAACTGAGTTTAAATGTATTTGGCTAAGGTATATGTAAACTTCCGACTTCAACTGTAGCTGTTCTATTATTCAGCCTTACAATAGCAGCCAATGTGTGGTGTTCAATGTAGGCCTACATTCCATGAGAAACATGCAGGGCTTGATATTAACCTGTTTATCCACTTGTCCTTCAGACAAGGAGGTGACTGAAAATGTTGTTGTGTTGTTCGATGCAAGAATCCACTTTACAAAATATAATGCATTATTATTCCCATGCCATTACTACAGAGAATCAGACAACTTATGTTACCCTCTGCCTATTGGTTACTTAGCTTATTCAAGTCTGTCTCAAAATACAACACTGCCCCTTTAAGACAAACATTTGCCTGACTTGCTTTTCAAAGATGTCTAGAAATGTACATGTTTTGTACTCTTGTAGGAAGCAATCACTCCCCTATTGCTGACTACAAATGATCTATAACTGGGCTAATAACTCACTAACTAGCAAAGGATCTGAACAAAATGTGCACACGTGGCTAAATGCAGCTCTCGCTTTGACCTCAAAACAAGTGCATCTTCTCACGACCGCTCATGCTGTAAGCACACCAGTTCAAAGTAAATGGCACAGATCCATATATGGCAATGGTCTATTTGCATATAGGCCTACTGCAGCTCTGATTGTTTATGCCACACCGGTCTGTGTAGAGTACGGGCTGCATAGTGCGTGTCAATGCAATAGAATCCTACTCCGATGCATTATGCCTACAACAAAATTTCTTGCATAGTTCATTTTGTTACATTGAATGTGGCTAAAATTGCGTTGATTCAATCACAATTGCCACAGTAAAGGGAAACGTTGATAGTGTTAACAGGGAAAACTGTAGAACAGTGGTCACCAACCTTTTCTGAGTCAAGATCGCTTTGAGTCAAAATGCAAGCCGAGATCTACCGCTCAGATTTTTTTTTAACACGACTTTAAAAAACGTAAGCCTAAGCAACATTAACCAATTAACAACACTACTGTAGCAATGAGGTTTGTGCAGTAAGCTATAGGCCCAATACATTATCACAGCATATTGGCTTTGATTGAATTGCGCTGCCAATGAATGCATTGATGTTCGGGTCATTCAAATCACTCCGCTCACCCTTTCCTCCACTGACACTGACCAAAAAGGGACACCGTCTTCCAGCTGATGACGAAACTCCAGTTGCACCGCATTATTTCTACCTCATGCACAAATTCCTGTTGTTACTCCTATGAATAGAGAAAGTGAAATATTCCTCGATATTAAAGAAGACCCAAGCCGCTAATAATAACAACAACGCAAGCCTATAGATACACTTTCCTACTCATTCATTACTGCTGCAGTGCTTGTTGTAGCACTGAGCGGAAATAGGAAGAAAGCGCATTTTATAGCTTATAAAAGTGTTGAATACAAATTGTTGACGGTGCTGAGAAAGAACTTAAACAAGAACTCACACATAAAAACAGCATTTGTTGACAGTCTCTCTCTAGTCATGGTTTTAAACATTTTGAAATCTCACAGTATCAACTTTGCTGTAGCTTTCTTTTATGCCTGCTACGTTACTGCAGACATGGTCATCTGAGCCATCCGATTGGCCAGCGGTAGGCCTATAGTGCACATGACAGGTGTATAAAATCAAGCACACAGCCATGCAATCTCCATAGACAAACATTGGCAGTAGAATGGCCTTACTGAAGAGCTCAGTGACTTTCAATGTGGCACCGTCATAGGATGCCACCTTTCCAACAAGTCAGTTTGTCAAATTTCTGCCCTGCTATAGCGGCCCCGGTCAATAAGTGCTGTTATTGTGAAGTGGAAACATCTAGGAGCAACAACGGCTCAGCCACGAAGTGATTGGCCACACTAGCTCACAGAACGGGACCACCGAGTGCTGCAGTGGTGTAAAGCTGGAGTGGTGTAAAGCTCGCCGCCATTGGACTCTGGAGCAGTGGAAACGCATTCTCTGGAGTGATGAACCACGCTTCACCATCTGGCAGTCTGACAGACAAATCTGGGTTTGGCAGATGCCAGGAGAAGGCTACCTGCCCCAATGCATAGTGCCAACTGTAAAGTTTGGTGGAGGAGGAATAATGGTCAGGGACTGTTTTTCATGGTTCGGGCTAGGCCCCTTAGTTCCAGTGAAGGGAAATCTTAAATGCTACAGCATACAATGACATTCTAGATGATTCTTTGCTTCCAACTTTGTGGCAACAGTTTGGGGAACTCCCTTTCCTGTTTTAGCATGACAATGCTCCCGTGCACAAAGCGAGGTCCATACAGAAATGGTTTGTCTAGATCGGTGTGGAAGAACTTGACTGGCCCGCACAGAGCCCTGACCTCAACCCCATCGAACACCTTTGGAATGAATTGGAACGCCGACTGCGAGCCAGGTCTAATCACCTACATTGGTGCCCGACCTCGCTAATGCTCTTGTGGCTGAAGTGGAAAGCCTTTCCAGAAGAGTGGAGGCTGTTATAGCAGCAAAGGGTGGACCAACTCCATATTAATGCCCATGATTTTGGAATGAGATGTTCGACGAGCAGGTGTCCACATACTTTTGGTCATGTAGTGTATGTATATATTGTATTAAAGTCATTGAACACTGGTCACTTTTATAATGTTTACATACAAAACACACTATTATATGTATATACAGTATTCCGGTCTCTGACATTGCTCGTTCTGAAATGTCTTAATTTCTTAATTTTTCAGGATTATGTGTGTATTTATTTTTATTTTTATTTTTATTACTAGGTATTACTGTACTGTTGGAGCTAGAAACGCAAGCATTTCGCTGCACCTGCGATAACAAATGCAAATCTGTGTACGCGACCAATAAACTTGATTTGATTTGTCTATTCACCGAGCATTCTCCCTTCTAGGATAGCACAGACGTTTAGGAGACCTCTTATGAGATAGCAGCTGTGAAGGTTGAGTTCCTAAATAGAGATTGAGTGTTTGGAACATGAAGTGACCCAGAAATGGCTGACTGGGTAACAGCAACAAGCACAGATCGATATTGATGTCCCCAAGGCCCTACTAAAAAGCTTCAACACAGCAACTTCCACTAACAATGGATGCTATTCAACCCCCCTCCAACTCTCTCTATCCACCCCAACCCCCTCTCTCTCTCTCTCTCTCTCTCTCTCTCTCCTCTCTCTCTCTCTGTCGCTCTCCTCTCTCCTCTCTCTCTCTCCTCTCTCTCTCTCTGGCTCTCCTTCTTTCTGTCTCTCTCATCGCTCTCTTTATGTCCTCTCTCCTCGCCTCTCTCCCTCTCTCTCCTCGTCTCTCTCTGTTCTTCCGCTTCTCTCTCTCTCTGTTGCTCTCTCTCTCTCTCTCGCTCTCTTTTTCTGTCTCTCTCTCTCTCTCTCTCTCTATCTCTGTTGCTCTCTCTCTCGCTCTCTTTTTCTGTCTCTCTCTCTCTCCTCTCTCTCTCTCTCTCTGTTTCTTTCTCTCACACTCACACGCACACACACAAGATGGCTATTTCCTCCTTAATGAAACGTGAGGGAGTGTGAGATGAGGAGTAGAGGTTTGGTTTTGTAATCTGGTTAACTCTAATCTAATCTCATCTGACATAATGTAATCTAATGGTGCTGCTGTGTGTTCCGGACTGCCCGTGATGCAGTGCCATACTATTTCTGACACTTACCCTCATCCAACCCATGTGTGTGTGTGTGTGTCTGTCAGTGTGTGTGTGGTGTGTGGTGCATGTGTGTGTGTGTGTGTTGGGTGGGAGGGGTGTTCTGATGGGGGCATCTAAGGTCGCATTCTATTACAGGAACAGCACGAGGGTTGAAGAAGGCTTAATATATGGTCTGTAACAAGAGAAGAAAGAATCAAAAAGCACACACACACACATGCAAATACACAAGCATAATACACACTCCAGCTCAATATATGACCTATCCTAGATGTCTCTCGTCCAATCCCCTCTCACCTCGTAACATTTTTTCTCCATATACTGGCTTATCAATCACATCTATTACAACAGTGTGTGTTTGTGTGTGTGTCTGCGCGCATGCTCTGAACTTGACCTAAGCAGGATTGTGATTGATGTAGTGTGCGATTGAGTGATTTGGTGGTTGTGTACCAGAGTATTAGGTAATAAACAGAATAAGACCAGAGAAGAGTTTAGGAGCCGCAGACCTTCACTTCACCCTGATACAGCCTTAGAGAGAGAGGGAGAGAGACACAAAGCACACACACATATGTGCAGACTTACCTGTACATCCTGGAAAGTGCCATACACACATGCAATGACGTCGCCATTTGATTCCAGCTGTATTGATGTATTTGATTCCAGCTGTATTGATGTATTTGATTCCAGCTGTATTGATATCTTGTAATGTCACAAACACATATATCAGAACATAACATGTAACATATGCTGTTGCTACCTCTTTGATGCTCCAGATACACAGTACTGTATTCTATGGCCTATATACTACACAAAACATACTACCGTACACACACACACACACACACGCTCCCTATGAAACAGCATGTGTCTAATTTAGATGTGGGAGTAACAGTACACTTCTCTGATGGTTGCTGAAAACAGATGTCATTGACATATTTCCTTTTCTAATCAGCGGATGTGTTTGTTTGTGTATGTGTGTTGGATATAACTATGTTTTATGATTCCTCTCTTCTCATCTCCCTCTCTCTCTCACCTTCTCTCTCGTCTTCTCCCTCATTCCATCTCCTCTCTCTCTCTCTCTCTCTCTCTCTCCATCCCCTCTCTTCTCACTCTCTCCTCTCCATCTCTCCCTCTCTCTCTCTTCTCCTCCATTTCTCCCACTCTCCCTCCATCTCTCTCTCCCCCAGCCTGATGAGCTGACCAATGCGTTGGAGATCAGTAACATAGTGTTCACCAGTCTGTTTGCCTTGGAGATGTTACTCAAGGTGTTGGTCTATGGGCCATTCGGTTACATCAAAAATCCCTACAACATTTTTGACGGAATCATAGTGGTCATCAGGTAAGATCTCACACACAACAAACTACACCAGATTGTCATTAATCTCTCATGGACAGATGTACGTAACCTAAATGGTAGTAGCATCTGTCGACAGACTGTGGGATGCCACGACTAACGAGGAACTTTCACACCGGGCGCAGACGTCAGTGCAACGTCTAGTTTTGATTTACATTTGGTTGAGTTGTCAACTAACGTGAATTCAACGTGAAATCAACAAAAAAATTCACCATATTGTTGGATTTTGTTAAAAGTTGAATGGCCCTTACGTTGATAACTTTGCAAATCCATTTAGTTTTCCACATTGATTCAACGTCATCACAAACATGGGTGGGTTGAAATGATGTGGAAACAACGTTGAGTCAACCAATTTTTGCACAGTGGGTTGTTCCGGTATGCTGATTTTTTGTCACTGATCGTTTGGACAAATCACGATTTTGCAGGTGCTCGCATATTTCGAATTTCGGAAGGGGAGGGCCTATATACTTGCCGAAACTATCTGACAGTTTCTGTTTAGAGAGTTGGAGACATTTCTAGTCTTGTCAGTACATTTTCAATATAATACGTCTCCCCCAGAACTAAATTGAGCATCTGACATAATTACACAAGATTTTAGTTCTGGGTGTCCGAGATTAGGTTGTCATAAACAAGGCTGTGTTTGATTTACATGACAAATTAGTTTATAACTTATGGCACACTGCCAGTCTTCACTGTGTAAGATATCAAGGCCTCACTCAGGTTTGTAACAGCTTTAAATATGTATTTTTCCTTCCAATTAATGGCTTATCCTGTAACGGACAATGAATATGTGTGGTCCTCTGTAGCTCAGTTGGTAAAGCATGGCACTTGCAACGCCAGGATATTGGGTTAATTATCAGTAGGACCCATACGTAAAACAAATATATGCATTCTAGACTGTAAGTCACTTTGGATAAAAGCATCTGCTAAATGGTATATAGTATATTTAAGCAGTAAGGCCCGAGGGGGTGTACTATATTGCCAATGTACCACAGCTAAGGGCTGTTCTTACGCATGACGCAACGCGGAGTGCCTGGATACAGCCCTTAGCCGTGGTATGTTGGCCATATACCACAAACCCATGCAGTGCCTTATTTATATTATAAACTGGTTACCAACGTAATTAGAGCTGTAAAAATAAATGTTTTGTCATACCCGTGGTATACGGTCTGATATACCACGGCTGTCAGCCAATCAGCATTAAGGCCTCGAACCACCTAGTTTATAAATATAATAATATGTGTTCTCTCTCTCCTCAGTGTATGGGAGATCGTGGGTCAGCAGGGTGGTGGTCTGTCTGTGTTGCGTACCTTCAGGCTGATGCGTGTGTTGAAGCTGGTGCGCTTCATGCCTGCACTACAGAGACAGCTGGTGGTGCTGATGAAGACCATGGACAACGTGGCCACCTTCTGTATGCTACTCATGCTCTTCATCTTCATCTTCAGGTATGGGCCAATGCAAAATGTGTTCAAAAAGTAATTTGGACACATATGTCAGACACAAGCTGACACACATTTATATAGAAATAAGGGGTAGCCTTTATCGCCATTTTCTCAAAGGGAGGAGGGGAAGAAGGAGGTGGAAGGGAAGGAAAAAGACATTAGGTGGTAGAGGCAAGTCAAAAAGGGACATAATGAGCGGTTGATAAAGAGGGATGGATAAAGAGAAAAATTGAGGGTGCTAGAGGTAGAGAGAAAGGGATGAGGAAGACAGAGAGGTAAAGAGTGTTCCACTTGGTCAGTAAACTGGAGGGGAAGAAACAAACAAAAGAGATGTATGCCAGGAGGAATGACAAAGAGAGGATAGAATGACACGAACGAGTGGAAATTCTCTCTTTTCATCAGCATCCCTCGTTCAGCCTGTTTAGCCACTGGCAAGCTCAGTGAAATGAGATCTATGGATAAGTTCTATACAGCCTACACACACATACACACACACACACACACCACACACACGCACACACACACACACACACACACACACACACACACACCACACACACACACCACACACACACCACACACACACACACACACACACACACCACAGTACTTTGACTAGAACAGTGTGCTTAGACAAACACCCACTATGTGTGTGAGTGAAGAGGAGCCAAGTTCACAGACTAGAGGCCTAGTCACTGATCCCTCCACACACGCACACTAGCCGTATTGCTGTCTAGTCAGAATAACATAGAGAATTCACACACACACATATCCCATGGGGTCAGTTCTTTGCTATTCATAATTACACAACAAGAGAACAACATCAGACTGAAACAGTGGGAGGCTGAAACTCTCTATCTTCTTTTCTCATGCCATGACTCCCTTTGGTGCCCTCGTCCATCTCTGTTATTGACAAAAATATATAAACTTTTCTCCCTCCTTTCCCTCCCTCCCCTCTCCTTTCTCCTCCCTACTCTTTCCTTCTTCTCCTCTTCCCGGCTGCATCGTCTTTTTTCCCCTCACAGACAGGAAACTTGCTCTCGCTCTGGCCATCTCACCCTTTTGGGGAATCCAACCCCCCGAATTTTTTCCCCCCTTTTTACCCCAAAAAAGCGGGAACTTTTTTCCA